TAGGGAAATATTCTTTCAATAGAACTATTTCTCTCTATAGTTTTCCTTTTTTATGATTGCATGGAATTGGCTATTACAGTAAGAATTCAGATCTTTTAATGAGGGGGAAAAAAATGTTAATTTTAAGAAAGGCCTGACATTTGGAACACTTCTCTTTCTCTGTAGGTTAATCCAGTACGTAACGCTTGTGTTGCTTTTGCCTCAGTTTACCGGCTGTGTGTTTTATGAGGAGGAGTGATGGTTTGTTTGGTCATTTTGTCTTCAGACAAAAACAGTCAGCTGGATTTACCCTTAGTTAGCTAAGAACTGACCTAGATCAATTCACTTAGCAAGGACCACCAAAGAAAATACCCCTCAAGTTGCTGAGAACCTTAGGTTCTGCTAAACTAGGTCTGAATTCCATCCTGTAATTTAAAGATGCAATATAACGTTTCCTCTTATGTGGCATCTAATTTGGCTTACTTAGTGTGGGGAAAGTGAAGGGTTTATTTTCTTGGCTTTTTTTAAATGGATGCATATACTTTACTCTTAACAGTTTAATTCATAACTAAAATTATCTCCTTTAATAAAAGAGAGATAATAAATAAAAGGAGATAATTTCTTTTAACAAAGAAAACTCTTGTTTTCCTGCTTAGGACTTATGGAGAATCCGGAGTCCATGCGGCAGCTGTGAAGGTTTTGATGTCCGGACTATGGATGATATGATTAAAGTAAGAGCACTCAAAATAGTTTCAGCAAAACGGAACAAAACTCACCTTGACTTGAAAAAGTATCTAGTGAACGCTTAAAATGTCATATGTCACGTGAAACACCATGTTTCAGTTTTTCATAAATATAGTGGCTATTCACTTCTTACAAAACAGAATAACTTTTTTGGCATGGGGATTGGGGTTATGTGATTCTTGTCATTTGACAAACTGTTCAGCACTGCACTGTCTTGAAAATACTTGCATTCATCAAAAGGGGAGGGAAGAAATCTTGTTCTCAAAAGTATTCTGAGATTGCAATCAAATTAGCTGCAGTTGTTCATCAATGAATCCTGTTGCCCTTAGGTTAGTGGTTAAAGAGCGCTTTAAGTGCCTTTAGGTGAGTGCTCTAAAGAGAAAAAGGCTTTTTGGCTTCCAAGAAATCGATATGAAGGGTGAGATTTATATGTCTAAACTTCTAGAGCTGTAGTGTACATCCCCCTATCTGAGGCAGCTGTTTAGATTGCTTTTATTAGTCCTTGTGGAGGAGTACAGGCAGTTCTAGAGTAGAATTCATTTCAAGGGAGAAGAAATGTAATTAAATGCATTTTGTTTTGAAAGTACCCATTTCTCTCTGCTTGACCATGGAGGAGCATGGTCCTAACAATTAGTTCATGCTTCTAGTAGATATTTTTCCTTGTGCCTAACAAGTACAGTCCTATCCCCTTGGAGCCTTATTGCTTAAATACTGTAGGTCCAGGTCACCAAGTAACTTGAGAACAAGGACTGTTAGCCTTTAGACTGTTTTTACATAGTTTTATTCCTTTTTTTCCTTCAGAATTCTCTGAATTTTAGGGAATCCAAGGAAGCAGAACCTCACCCTCTGTGGGAATATCCTTGCAAGTCACTCTCAGATCCCCAAGAAGTTTTGATATTTGACTTTAGGAGGACTGTACCACAGCACTGTCTCAGCACAGAGGGTTCTGTAAATCTTTTACGGTGAGTATTCTCTTCGTAGTAAGTATTCACATCATAATGATGAATCTTTTTTTAAACTTTTTTAAACCTCACATCCAGTTTTTTGTGTACATTCTTAATTAGTGGGATCATATTTAACAACATCCAAAGATGTTACCTAAACTTGTGGAAGCTCCTTTGACACTAACTTCCTGTGCCTGTTTTCGGATTCACCCTGTCTACCTTCAGATAACTCACAGGCAGCTATAGCATTAAGGGTAGTTTTGTAGGTAAGATGGCTGTATTTTAAAAATAGCATTTTATTAGATTGCTTCCGTTATTTAGAATGTAAACAGATTAACTTACAGTCTAGAGAAGACAAACCAATGTCTGGATGGTTTTAGTCTTTCAATTTGCTCCCTGTTGCTGAGTTCTGGCAGAAACGGCTCCTATTTAGCCTTGCAAATTATTCTGTTTAATAGCTTTAAAGTGTACGCTATCCTTCCCTTTAACTGCAGTTAGCTTTTGACATTTGTCATATGTCTTCAGAGATATCTTTCACTACAGTCTTAACTACAGACTGTAGTTTATTCCGTGCAAACTTGAAATACTATTAACAATTAAAAAACAGGGAAATTTGCCTTTAACTTCTTCTATAGTTTACGTAATCTGAACACTGCTATAATTATGCTGTTCCCCTTTGTGAAACCAAAGTCATGGCCCTTAAGCCCTGGGAGTGCTTGTGTGGTCCAGATTGCTTGTTTGGATAAAATTTATGGAAATTTTCTTCCCCCCCCCGCCCCGCACTGTGAGGATCATGGGAGAACCCAGAACTATCTGCATGGGGTCTCTGTGCCTTGGAACCAGTTGTATTTACAGGCAACGTGTTAGCATGACCTCTGCTCCTTGTAACTTGATGAAGTAAGATGGGTTACGTGGTAAACATCTTCTCCCAAATCCAGAAACAGTGGAAGCTGGGATATCTGAAGGAAATACTCCCCAAATATGCTATATAATTTCTTCCATGTTATCTTGAGTGCCTGTTAAATGACTACAGATCCTAGCAGACTTCGTTGTGACATCTGCTCCTCCTGTCTTTTTCAGATTTCAGATTTGCAAACGCTTAAAAGCTTGCTAACCACTGGCAGATTTATTCAACTGCTAAACTTTTTCCAAAGAAACAAATTACTTATGCATTCTTAAACCTCATGGGGAGTGGGTGCAGTGTTTAAGCTATCAGTATTACCTAGAGTTAACGCTAAGATAATAGTTTTTTTTTTTTTTTTTCCCCTCTATGGGGCAGTTCTGTGGATGGAATATCATCTTACTGCTGATATCTCAGTTAGCACAGGGCTGATGCAGATTTCAAATGACAAGGTATTTCTTCAATCTGTACTTTATTATCTTTCGTAAAGTCTATAGAATTACAGTGCTGAAAAATACTTCTTTGCTGGCCATGTTGTCTTGGTTTATATAGCGTTACTTGTTACCCTATTTGAATACTATATAGACAATACTAGTAGAATTATCTGTTCACCCTTTTGGGGGGGAGCAGGAGATGTACCTTGAAATACGAGAGTATCGGATTTGAATCGGATTCAAATGTTTCTGTAGTTTGGAACCGCATGCAGAAATCAAGTATGATGCTAGCTTGAAGTAGAATTTATTCATGCAACTTCCTTTCCTTGGTTCAACAAGAGCAGAAGGTTTGAGGGGAAGGAGCCCTAAATATTTTTTCTATCCCATCTAAATATTCTTTGACCAAATTCATTTTTTCTCTACAATGTCACTGTGCAGTGTAGTAAACTGGATTTAAAGAAATTTGTTATGCCTTCCTGTAATGAAAGAAGGTCAGTGAAAGTGAGAACTGTATCGGATCTTTGTATACTGAACTGCAGACAAGAACTGTTGTGTTCTTACTGCATTATTACTGTCCAGTATCTTGGAGTTGTGACTGCTTTCACTTTTAACTCTCTCCTATAGGGAAACTGTGAATGGAATCCCCACTGCAAGCAAGCTGTCTATTTCTTCAGTTCTGTTATTGAATCAGAAACTCTGACAGACCTTCCTAGTGCTGTCACGTATGCTATACATTTCGACACAAAGACAGGAGAGATTACCATGGATTTTAAGCTATTATAAAATACTTGGCTTTTCCTCACGTTCCTAAATTATAATAAACGTATATGGTTTTCTTTGTATGGCAGAGGGTTTTTTTTTTTTAATCGTGTTCAGAGAGCAAACTGACCATTCTGAAAAATACTTTAAACCTATTTGGTTTTGCTTTCAAAATTTATAGCTGGGGAAGTACAGCACAGAGAATCTTTCTTTTTTAGGAAGTTATTGTTGATGGCATTATATGGGATTATATAGTTGTTATCATCTGTGTTAGTGTGAAACTATATTGTATTTTTGAGGTTCTTGAATAGTATGCGGAAATGAAGCAGTCAACTGAATGGGTGTTGCGTGGCATACCAGTGGATGAAGACACGAAATCCTGCGCTACATTAGATAAAAATAAGTTAAACTTGTCTGTTTTTAAGCTCTGCACTTGCCACTGTCACACTGAAAATGTTCTTCAACCTGCACAAAAAGAAATTCCATGTCAAGCTACATATGTATTTTAGTACATTTAATGTGGAAAAGGAAACAGGTTAGGTATTTGCAGGCTTGTTCTGATCTTAAACTGAAGTGGTCAGTGAATTAACTTATTTTGCACTAACATTCCCCAGGAGTGTGAGATACTGCATTTCTGAAGAGACCTTTGCCATACAGCGGCCAAAGTCTGGAAAGGAATGACTGAAATTTAGAAAACGTACACATTCAGATTAATTGGAAGTGACAAACTGATGATAGTCTACAGATTTTATCTGTATATAGATATATCTCTCTATAGATAAACAGAAAGAAAAGAAAGAGCTGTAGTCCAAGAACTTCTGTATCTGTAAGGAATATGTAATATATGTATTACATATTATGTATATATTTTGTATATACATATATATGTGTATGTATATATATTATGTATATATATATATATGATCAAAAATGGGCCCTTATATGTTTCATCAGTGATTGGAATAATTAATCTGCTAGTTCAGGTAAGTTGTGTGTTGTTCTGCAATAGCACAGGTCCACAGCTGAGGTTTTCTTAGTTGCATTCCAGATCATATTGGCGGAAATTGCAGTGCATGACCATGTGTGTGCAATTAATGTTGCTTTATGTGAACAGTCAATTTATTCTGCTTTCTATGAACAGCCAATTTGTGTATCAGTTTTGTATACGTGGCCTATTAAATGTAATAGAAAAATAATGTGCTATCTGTCCTAAATTATGGTAGCCAGCTGCAGGGATAACTCTGCTTACCAAAACTACTCCCATTTCCTCTGACCAGCAACTTCTGCGAAGTGAAAGGAATGCCATGAAGAAGCCATTGAAGGAGCAGGGGCCTATTCTACTTTACTGTGCTGGTCACTGCAATATATAACTCTGGTGAGTAGGAATTTTTCCTCCTTTTCTTCTGAAAGCATGATGATTATTTATAGACCTCAAAGCCATCTGAAATATTTCTAAATTTTTCAGAACTATCCCTGACCAAGGTCTTAACATTTAACAAATATGTAAGGACTCGGGAGCCCAAGGCATGTAAGGGATGAAATGCTCATGTTTTTCGTTAGAACAGAACATGTGCAGCAGCATAGCAGCACTACTAGCAGCAGACTGAGGTCTGCTGATAACCACTGTTCAAAAAGGTACTGTTAAGTTGTTTAACTTCAGAGTCTCATTTCTTACAAGCTTGATGGGAATATATAGGTTACTGTCTATTAGACAACTGTTTGTAGTTTTGATACGCTGTTCCTAGCCTAAGGAAAAGAAGGTAGCACAAATCTACCTCTTGTATGTTGGGAACCTAAGCTATACAATGCAAGGTCGTTGTGCCTTTTCTATTAAAAAATGCGGTTTTCATGAAACTGGGGTAATAGCTACTGGAACAAAAGGAACAATAACAGGGCCAAGCCTTTATCATTTGTTCCTATATTGCTATCAGCATTGTACAGTAAGACTATCACTAACTGCGCAGAATTCTAGGAAGAAAAGTCAGTTCAGAGGAAATTAGCAGTTAATATGTGATGTGTGTATTGGGATGAATTGATGGAAGTACCTGGTTTGCCTTAGTCAGTCGAGGGAAAAACATACCACCCTGGTCAGAGCAGGGAGGTTAAATATTAAGGGTCTCGTGCACAAAAGCAGTCCAGTTTGATGCAGAGCGCATCTTTTTGCGCTCTCACCTCCTCCCCACTCTCACTTTAATTTTAAAAAGCAATATAGCAACAACTGAGGGACAGGTTATATAGCTCCCCGAAAGATGACCTTGGCATTACAAACTGATTCCACCTGAGAATTTGGCACACGGCTGCTACTAAGACTACAACAAGTAGTTGATACAAGGTACTACAGGACTGGATTTAGCTTGTGGTATGCTTTGTCTGGCCTCCTGCGATTTCCCAGAGGAAGACAGCACAATAGAAAAAACGGCTAGATGGCTGCGTCTTCAGCATTTGCTTGTAGCCTGACGCACAAAGCTGAGCTGTTGTTCCTGCTATCCAGTGTAAGTAGCTTCTGAAGGTACTTTGCAGGTATTGCACAAACAATTCTGGATCTAACAGAAGTGTACGGTGTTCTGAAGCTGTTAACAAAGAAATAAAGGAGAGCAATATGTTAGAAACTGTAGGTTTAAAAAACAAAAATAAAATAGAGCAAAAACAGACTGTAGAGTCAGCTGTGTATTTTCATTTGTTTTTTTAGTGTTAGCTTTCCTTAAGATGATTGTATAAATGGGTGTCTGAATCATCCTTGCTAAAGAAAAAAAAATTGGCTAAAATTCCAAAGGGAAGAAATCCTCATTGATGGGAATTTGTATTTTGTTATTAGTATTATATATGATGGCGATAAGGGGGGGTACTGTGGTAGGTGCTAGAAAAACATAGTGGCATAGAGGTATTTAAACCCGGTTGGTATTGTGAGACTTAATCTTGAAAGTCTAAGAGGTGAGTGTAGTGCAAGTGAAGGTCATAGGTTACATGTAGTAGGATATCTGCAAATAAAAACTAAATTAGGGAATCATATGAACCATATTATCTGCACATGTGGAAAAACAAGTTTCTATATGCCTGAAGCAGTAATTATATTGCTGCTGTCCAAAAAAAAAAGAAAAGAAAAGAAAAGTGGAACCTTGTGTATATCTTAGCACCTGTGTTAGGGGAATGAAATCTGATGGATGTGCTCAGGAAACCTTGTGCCTGTTTTAGTTTGCAGTGAGTGCGACCAACATTGTTAATGCTTGCTGGTTACTCTTACAAATTTAGGCAGGCACTGAAATTGCTTTAGGGATTAGGCAGAACATGCTGAAAGCTGACCTGTTAAAGGCAAACCCTTATGACGTGTATGGTTTGAGCGTTTTCAGAGGGGTAGCATGTAGTCATTAAACGTTGGTACATACCAAACACTTGTGTTGATATGAATCTGGGTGACTTGGGGAAAGCTTTGTTCAGTTGATACATATGCTAAGTACTCCTAATTGCAGTCTCCCTTTGCTTCTGTAAATGTTTTAGGGTGGACTTAGACCACATAGTGCGATCTGTAAATGGCTTGGAAAACAGCTTCTGAGGGGATGCTGGCTGTTCCTTCTGTCTATCTATACTTCTATTTCTGTCCTCTTCTACAGGGCTTTTTACTGCAAGTACGCGGGGAAAAAAAGCCCCTTCAGCAG